AGAGCGATGGTAGCCTGAGCTACTGCTAGCCTGAGCTAATGCTAACGCCTTAAAGAGAGGAAACCAACAAAGAAGAATGTTGGAGCGCCAATGCAATGTTCCAGGATGTAATGGGAATGTCCAGATGTTGAATGAAACCCGGGTTGATCCATAGAGGCAGGGCATATCAGTCTGTCCATTGTGGGTTTTATTATGGGGTTGAGCTTGAACATTTATCGGGGCTCCTGGGATGTTTTGAGCCACCAAATTTCCAATTGTAAAAAAACTGTTACAGAACCCCTTTAACGTTTCACGCGCATAAGGTAAAAAAATGCAGATGAGTCGAAATATTTTCCAAGAGAATGCTACCTCTACATCATAAATCCACACCTTCTGTCCTTAAATCATCCAGACGGAGCATCAGGATTAGCACCTTCATCAGAAACCTGCCATGTCTACTGCCCTCTAGTGGAGGATCCACGGGTGGCAAGGGCCAATTTTATTTTACCGTTATTGTTATAGAATTACATAATAAATCCATTCATAAAACTAGAGTAAATTCAGCCAACGCTACAGAAATACTAGAAAACAATCAGCCAATCAGATCCTGGGAATTTATTGCTTTTTCTTCATCATTTCCCCTACGAAGCCATTTAAATGTCTGCAAGGATGTGCTGCTCTTTTACTACAGAAAACCAAAGCGTGACTGTGGTTGTTATAATATTGTGTGATTAAAGTATTTTTAGAGCTGTTCATCCAGCTGCTTGTTCGTGAGGTTAAATAAATCTGTCCAGTTGTTTGTTTTGCTAAAGGGGACGCACATACTTAGGCAAAAACATTATCGTCCACCATTTTCTTTTTCATGAATTATATACGGGAGATTTACAGTCTGTGGCTCCAGATGAATCCAGAAAGAATCTTTTTTATGGAGAATTTCATACAATTAAAAACCAAATGACAGAGGTGTGACCAAGTCACAACTTTGCAAGTTACAAGTAAGTCACAATCAGGGGTGGACTGGCCTATCTGGCATTCTGGCACTGTCCCGGTGGGCCGCTTAGCCAAGTGGGCTGCTTGCCCAGCTTGGGCCGACACTACTCCACAGTTGGTGATCTGCAGAACATTAGCTACATGCTAACCCGAAGCTAACAAGGTTTTTCCAGGAGATTTTAGCAAGAAAAACACGGTAGAGCGATGATTGACGTAGGAGTTGTTTTACCACGTTAGCATGTAGCTAGTGTTCCGCTGATATCCGCCCGTGGAGAATGAGCTGATCTGGAAGGCCAGGGCTCCTGGTTGCAGCGGTCTGGCCCTGCTTGTAATTTAACAGTCCCAGTCCATATTAGATCTCACATTCGGCCTAGAGACGAGTCTGTCGGCGGCAACACCCCCCACCCCCACCGCTCTCCCAATGGGGAGGGCCTGTGCACAACACCAGAGCTTCTGAGTCAGAGATACGCCGGGCTGACCGCTGGGTAAAACCGGGTGGAACACAGAGGTCTCCCGAGAGCTCCACAAGCCGATAGTGGGAACCCAGCTCCACCAACATGTTATATTTCAACCCATTTTCTAAAGTGCAGCATTATGTTAAATGCACTGGGTTTTACCCTATTACATTTAAATTTCATGGTTAAACAGTACATGTTAAAATCTAAGCTCAGCTCGGCAGTGACCTAAAATACATAAATATAATTTTACTTACCGAAAAAAATGAAGTGGAGACTCCTTGGACGCTCTATTAGTGCAATTAATGCCACAGCAAGTCATTTTGTCCAACAATTGCACAAAAAATATCCAAACAAGAATACACAAACACAGAGACTCAAAATCCCGGAGCAGTTTCCAGGCCAGACCGAGGCTCTACTGAGGCCTTTCCACGGAGCTAGCTCTGTGGTCACGTGGGTCTGATGCTCATTAATTATACAGAATTTTAAGCTTTTAATACACTTAAACAGAAGAGTGAGAAAAACATTCACCCCCCTTAGAGTTGTCATGAGTGTAAACTAGATAATTTATACCAAAAACATGTTCTGGTACCAGGCTGTAAACATGTTTATTTCTGCTGTGAAATTGGTATTTTTAACATGGGAGTCAATGAGGATTTGCTCACTTCTGATACCAGCCCCTAGTGGATGAGGGTGGAACTGCAATCTTTGCTACTTCCGGGTTGGCTTCAATTTTAAAGCCACATTGTGGGGGCTTGGTCCAACTTCAATTTAATGACAATGATAATAAATTCCAGAAATAAAATTTCTTAAAGCTTCATTTATTTGCTCAGACAAGCAGAAACTGAAGTTGATGATAAACAAAGAGCTGTTGCGTTTAGCAGAACAAGATCAAACCCAGAACCAAGAATGAGTTACGATTTTTCTCCATGTCGGGCCACTTTTGTGCTAAAATATCAAATAGGCCACTATATAAGTCATCATCAAGTCAACAGATGCAAGTCGATTCAAGTCACAAGTCATAGGCGTTCAAGTCCGAGTTAAGTCGTAAGTCTTTATAGATTTTATCAAGTCAAGTCACAAGTCATTAAAATAATGACATGAGTCTGACCCGAGCCCAAGTCTTGTGACTCGAGTCCACACCTCGGACAAATGAATCCCAGCTTTATCCTCGATTCATCCCCTTCAGAAAGTTTCCTGCACAGATTTATTTTTGTGTGATTGATGCAGCAACAGAGAGACCGATCTAAGACACCCGCTCAGTGGTGGACTCGCTCCAGCGAGGAGCCTCTCATACTAGAAATAAAAATCTGTTCCCTCCAGTCAGAAATCGTGTTCCTCATTAGCAGGGAACTCCAGGTGTTCCTGTCCAGCTGAGTGATGTCTGTTTCTAATTTCTAGAAAAATCTCCATCGGGTGTCAATCTGCTCTCCAATCTGACAGAAATGTACGACTCACATTTCTTGTGCGGTCCAGTCACTTCGCTCCGCTGCGCCCTTCACTTAAGCTACCAGAACACGGATGCTTCATAGAAACTGGTGGTAGGCATTGCGGTTATTAGGATTCATGCAGGGTGGCTGCTCAATTCACCTTGGGCTTGTCAAATCTTTTGGCTCCGCTCAGACCTGCGACGCTGCAACAACCGCAGACGATAATCCAGGCAGTTAAACGTGAGGAGGAGGTGAAAGGAGGAGGACTGCAGCAGGCTTGTTTCCTCCTTTTGTTTGCGTCGCTACAAACTCAGGCAGGCCCCGGAGCCGTGACTTTGAAGTGGCGTCTTTGATTAAGGCCTTAATTAAAGAATGGCTGCTTGGAGGCGAGCAGATAGCTGGGGAAGGAAGAGGAGCAGACAGCGAGGGAGGAGAAGAGGAGCGGATGTGGAGCTGAGAAGTGATGTTGACAGCTCAGAAGTTTCCTAGAGTTTCTGGTTGAGAGAGATTCCTGCTGGCACGACGGTGACAGCTGCAGCAGAAAAATAAACCCTAAAAGCACTGCAGCCCACATGTGTGGACCTCACAGCTCCTGTCCTGCTGCACCGTGGCATCAGCATCACAAACCTGTGAGGAGAATGGATGCTGGTGGGAAAGAAAGACGAGAGCTGCAGCCATCATATCACAATTTATGTCCTTTTGGCTTTCTCCCTCTCCTCATGTCCGTCTGTCGCTTCAAGGCCGTTGTGGTTTTCTGCAAACGTTCTCCTGAACTTATTTTCTCTTCTGTTTTCTGAAATGATATTTTCTTCTTCTTCTTTCTTCTTCTTTCCCCGCCTCTGTCCATCTGCAACCCTAAATTGTTTGTATTGTATTTGTTTGTATTTTGAACGTGGAACCCTGCACCCTCCTGAGAAGATAGTGTTGCACTTTAATACGTGATTCACTGATTCAGACACACTTGACGGTTTTCTAGGTTTTATTTTAAGTGTATTTTATGGAAATTGTTCATTTTAATTAATAAATTAAAAATATCATGTAATGAACATAAACACACCGCTGTATACATCTGTCATGTTGGTTTTTGAAGTGGATTCTGGGGAGGACATTTGGATCATAGATGCTTAATGAGGGAAGCTGGACTCCTGTTTCCTACGGTATAATTCTGATCCGAAGAATTAGGAAAACAAGTCTTCAGTCTTATGTTTGCTCCATAAAGGAACATGTGCAGCAAGAAAAAGATAAATGAAACAATCTTTTATAATAAGCCTCTCAAGAAAAAACATCATGAGGTGCTTCACAAGAACAAATTTTTTTTAATGAAAATGAATAAAAAATGAATCAAAATTGAAACATAAAAAAATGGTTCTAAAAATGTGAGGAAAGGAAAGATAAAATAGTAAGAAAGAGGTGATCAGTGGATCCAAGGAGAGGTTGGTGATGAAGGTCACACCAAAGCCTGATCAGGTGAGTCTTCAGCTGCTTTTTAAAGGAGACCTCTGAGTCCACTGATCTCAGGCTCAGGGGGAGAGAGGTCCAGAGTCTGGGGGCCACGGCAGCAAATGATCTGTCAGAAGAAAGAAGTTTGTACTGAGACCACAAAGAAAAGGAGAGATGGAGGTCAGCATCACTCCCTACTTGTACGTCTGGATCTTTTACTCCAGAACCTTTTACTCAGCGCCTCGTGATTTTTATCTTGAGAGGCGCTATAGAAATGGTATTTTCTTCTTTTCTTCCACTCTCCATCACTAAACAAGTTTAATGGAAGAGTTTATATATGCAGTAAAATAATAATATTTAGTTTAAATTCAACTTTGATGTTTACAATCTGTGTGTTATTTATAACCACAATTTTTACTTCAAACAAATAATAATTTGCAATAAATGTAAGTTAAAACACTCACAGTTATGCATAAAGTTGAGGCTTCTCCATGGGTTGTAAGTGTCTTACCTGCAGTAGATAACGGTCGGTGTATCTCGGCTTGGAGAAGTGGTCAAACTAACAGCTAACAGCGAATAAAGTCCTCTCTCTTTGACTTCTACTTTACGTTTTTGACCCTTCCTAAATCCATCACCTTGAAATATTTACAAAATTCGTCATTCATGTGTTGCCCTGGTTTTTTCTTCTTCTTTGAATCCCTTTTAGCCAGGGTTTTATAAGGGCGTGGCGGGCTCTCAGCTGACCCTGTCCAGTCTGGTTAACCAGTCCCGGGCCATGCTGGAGGAGCAGGCCCGTCACCTGCTGACTGAGGCTGAGCGTCAGACCATGAGCTACTACGTGGAGGAGTACAGGGACGGCCACGTCGGCATCGAGCAGCTGGTCATGGCTCTGTTCGAGCTCCTCAACACGCACGCCAAGGTGAGCTACAAGCAAAAAGATCAAAAGAGAATCAGTCTTCCTCTGAGCTGGAGTCGGTACTCGAGTGATTCCTGTGATGTTTGAACCAAAGCTTGCTCGGCTCTGATGAGATTTACAACACCGAGTGTTTTATTGTCTCACAGCTGAGCTTTGTGCATCTATGAGTCGTGTTTTTTAAAAGTCTCTTGAGTTTTTTATAACACAAAATAACAAAAACCTGCAGAGCTGTTCTGTATCTTGTTCCCAGGAATGTATTTTCAGCTGCTTTATTAAGGTTCGTATTTAGAGCTCCTGTAATCGACATTTTTTCTCCTGTTTTGCTGAGTCTATTACATGAAATAATCTAAAATAATTTCATTTGAAAAAATATTCCAAAATTTGTCATGAATTAGGGTTGGAGCACGTTCAGCTTGTCGGTTTTGTTTCCACTGACCTGCAGAACCAAAAGATGTGCAGCAAATCTTTAAATAATCGATTCTAGGCACTTTGTGGGCCGCACGCTTCAGGGTTGGTTGTCACATTTATATTAGTTAAGGGCACTCTGCTGATGAAGTAAACAAGTTGATTTAAATCCAGTTGACTTTAATCCAAGGAAGAGTTCATAATTCAGATTAGCCATGGTGCCGTTTTCTTCCAGCTCTTGGAGAGTGCAGACGCTTTTTTCTCCTCTCCCTCCCTCCTCATCCCAAGGCTCTTTGTCCTGTCTTTGTGTGCACTGCACTTTTTGCATTTTTTCTGGAAAATGGAAATTATTAAAAATGGATCTGGCCAGTTGGTCTCTCAACGCGATTGACAAAATTTTTTCAACAATGAGAACGGGAGGAGGGGCTCCCGGATGCCCCTCTGGGACAGAGCCCACTGGGTATATCATGGACTCCTGGAAACAGTGGAACCTGATATGCCTCTCTCGGCTGTCTGTAGAGGATTCTGAAGATGTCTGAATATTCGTCGTTTTGGTGTCGGGATTCCTGCTGTTTGGCCTGAGCGGCTATCTGGCTTACCGGAAAGTTAACAAGCTTTTGAGGAATATTGGCTCAATCCCGGAGCTCAGGGATGGAATGCATCGCTCTGTAAACTCACATACTCATATAATTGGTTTATATTCTGGAACTGCGCTGCTCTGGGTGGCTGCATGTTGGAGTAGCTCTGTTGACTATATGTAAGTTTTGCCTTTTCTTGGACATTTTTCTTCTAGTTTCTCAAGAAAAACGGTATTTTTTGGACATTTTACTTTTCTGTTTCTGGTGCTGTGAAGTTTAGAGGATTTTTACTGCTATTGTTTCACTTTTTGAGCATTTGTTATGATGCGTAACCATGGCAACAAGCTGGCTTACAATTGGGAGCAGCAGATTAACATTGGAAAGGCTGAAATAATACCTCAACTGAAGCCACAAATTCCAAATGAGCTAAAGCACAAGAAGCGTGGATGCAAAGCGGGAGCAAAACGGAGACAGAGAAACAGCAAATTCAAACCATCTCTTCCATCGATCATAATGGGCAATGTGAGATCACTGGCCAACAAGATGGATGAACTCCAAGCCCTTTCAAAGACTCAGCCAGAGTATTGGCAGTGCACTGTTATGTGTTTCACTAAGATGTGGCTGCAGGAACTATATCCCAGATTCCAGCATGTCTCTGCCAGGATTCCTGACCGTACGAGCAGACAGAGATCTGAAGAGGAGCGGGAAAAGAAAAGAAGAAGAAGCCCTGCAGTGTTGTTTTGAGACCACAGATTGGATGACTCTCTGCCAAGGATATGAAGAGGACATCAGTGCCATGACTGGATGTGTCACTGACTATATAAACTTCTGTGTGGACAACATCATACCCACCAGAACAGTGAGATGCCTTTTCACCCTGTACACCTCAGACTTCCAGTACAAATCAGAGACCTGTCATCTACAGAAATACTCAGATGACTCTGCAGTTGTCGCGTGTATCAGAGATGGACAGGAAGCTGAGTACAGAGAGCTGGTGGAGCGCTTTTTGCCATGGTGTGGAAACAATCATCTGACCTTGAATGTGAACAAAACAAAGGAGATGATTTTAGACTTCAGAAGAAACAGGGTGGAGTCAAACACTGTTTCCATCATGGGAGAAGAAGTGGAGGTAGTTCAGGAATACAAATACCTTGGAGTTCACCTGGACAACAGACTGGGCTGGATAAAGAACAGTGAAGCCGTTTACAAGAAGGGACACAACAGACTGCACTTCTTGAGGATGCTTAGGTCCTTCAATGTCTGTAGCAAGATGCTGCAGATCTTCTACCATTCAAAGTCATTTTATTGTCATTTCTACCACATGTGCAAGACATACAGAGAAACGAAAGTGAGTTTAAGTGCACACAATTCAGAGATCAGACATACATGGGTAAGACACATGACAAGAATTGGTGACTGCGGTCATTCGCAACATGAGTCGCGCTACATTAATAGATAGATGAAAAGGGTGTTACATGAGGATAGTTGGGGGTAAGGTAAAAAAAGCACAGCAGAGTTAGACCCAGCGGGGAGTAACTCTATTATACAAAAAAAAACTCCTCAACATAGAAGCACAAACAACACAGATACAAAACAACAGAGTCCGATGGGGAGGCGGGGTTGGGCGGGATCCTGAAGCCTCCAACGGGAGCTGCCAGTACGGCGCATCAACCAGCTGCAGTCCAACAGGTGGGAGGGAGAGATAAGGAACAGAGAGCACATTGAGTTTCCCGCAGGTCGCTGACCTCAGCAGAAGTCATAATCTGAAGGCAGGGGGGGAAGGTCGGGACACACCATCTGTCAACATTCCTCCTTTCGTGGGGGTGTGTTGAAGCAGCCTTGAGAGGCTGCCTTGGCGTCAGATAAGGATAAACATGACTTTGTTTTGGGCAGGCAGAGATAATTTCTCTCTCTGCCTTGGAGTCTATAAGTGGTCTTTCATGTCCACCAGTGAAGCCAATTTTACGTTCTAAACATCCCCACATCGTCCGGCGACCCTGTCCGAGATGACATCCATCTTGCGCACTAACACAGGCAACGCCGCGAGGACATTATCCAACTTACAGTTCACCTCGAGTAACGTCCCAGTCTGTGAGTTCACCGCACGAGCGGCACATTCCATGGGCGCGGGTCGCACTCCAATCGCTCCCGTCTTCCCAAATTTCCAGAAAACCAGATATCCTCCCACTCCAATCAGAAGAAATCCAGTGATCATCAGGCCGAACATCCACAAATGTTCCACGTCCTCGATGGACAACTGAGAGAGGCACACAATTCGCCAGACATCCCAAGAATCGAGTGCATATCCTGCTGCGAATGTCCCCTCGGGACAGGTGGGAGCCCCCTTCTCCGTTCTCATCGTAGAAAAAAATTTCTCAATCGCGTTGAATGACCAGTTAATTAAATCCATATTTCCAAAAAAAGAGTAGTGATTTCAGGAGAAATGCAGAGAAGTGCTCTGTAGGCAGACAGGACAAGAGCCTTGGGGAAGCAGATAAGGGAGCTGAGAAAAAAAAGCGTCTGTACTCTCTGAGGGCTGGAGAAAGAAGTCTGTTGTTGAGAGTGTAATCTCTTCAGCCATCGTCTGTTGGGGTAGTAGCATCAAAAGCAGGGACCAGAAAAGGCTCAACAGCCTAATAAAAAAGGCTGGTTCTGTTCTGGGGACGACTGTGGAACTGCTGGAGGAGATAATGCATAGAAGGATTCTCCAGAGCATCAAGAAAATGATGGACAACCCTGAGCATTCTCTTCACAAGACTGTCCGACAACGGAAGAGTGTCTTCAGTCAGAGGCTTCTTCAGTTTGGCTGCAACACTTAACGCTACTGGAGATCCTTCCTGCCAACAGCCATTGTAATATACAACAACTCTTTGATGACCTGATTATTATTGTTATTCTGAGCTACTACAGCAATCAGTTTCCCTCAGGACAGAGCCTTGGGGCACACCAGAAGAGACAGAAGAGGGCTGTGAGCGGGAGGATTTGATAGTAATGAACTGAGTGCGACCTGATAGGACTGAAACCACTGAAGTGGGATGTTAGCAATGCCAATGGAAGATAACCTATGGAGGAGAATGGAATGAGATATTGTGTCAAAGGCCGCACTCAGATCAAGGAGGACCAGGATGGATAGTAGAACGGAATCAGCAGCAATGAGGAGATCGTTAGTTATTTTGAGGAGGGCTGTTTCTGTGCTGTGAAGTGGGCGGAAACCGGACTGGAAGGGTTCATAGAAGGAGTTTAGTGTCAGATGGGTGTGGAGCTGGGTAGCGACTATTTTTTCTAAAACTTTGGAGACAAAGGGTAGGTTGGAGATGGGGCGGAGATTAGTAAAAATGTTAGGATCCGAACCAGGTTATTTAAGTATTGGAGTAACTGCAGCAGTTTTGAAGATAGAGGGAACAATACCGGAGGAAAGGGATGCGTGTATGAGAGCGGAGACGAGAGGGAGCAGGGAGGGGAGGCAGGATTTAACCAAGGCCGTGGGAAGGGGGTCGAGAAGGCAGGTAGAAGGCTTTGTTTTGTGGATAATATCTGATATCTCAGAATCACTGGGAAGTTGGAAAATGGAAAATAACTGTGTTGGTTCGGGAGGATCATATGGGGAGGTAGGGGGATGCTTTGGTTGATTGCACGATGAATGTTTATCATTTTTTCGTTGAAGAACAGAAGAAGGGCATTACAAGTAGCAGTAGAGCACGTGTGGGGGCAGAGTATCGGATGGCCAGTGAATTTTATTGATAATGGAGTACAATGACTTAGTGTTGCATTGATTGGAGTTGATTAGACAGGAGTAATACTGTTGTTTGGTTAGTATAATTAAGTCCTTATACTGAGTCATATGATTTTTATATAGTTCTTTGTGAATGGTGAGACCAGTTTTTCTGTAGAGGCGTTCAAGCTGCCTGGATTTGGTTTTCAGCGTCCGGAGTAGAGGGGAAAACCAGGGAGCAGACCGACAGAAAGTAACAGAACGGGTTTTAACTGGAGCAAGGGAGTTTAAAATGTGAGCTAACTGGT